CAGCTCAAGGCTAGTGCTCTACCACTTGAGCCACAGCACCACTTCTGGCTTTTTCTGCTTCTGTGGTGCTGAGGAATCGAACCCAGGGCCTCATGCATGTGAGGCAAGCGCTCTACCACTGAGCCACCTTCCCTGCCCCACTGTGACGTCTTAGTCCTAAATTTTGGTGTACCAGGATAAGATTGCCAGACTATAGTACCAGACTTTGGGCGCAGAAAATTGTCTCTCCGTCAAATTCGACCCACAGTACTGCCCCCCAAAAAAAACCCAACAACAAAAGACATCATGATGCAATTCACCTAATTCTCTCCCATGGACAAGGGAGAGAGGACGGGGTCGGCAGGGCACCAGCTCAGGCCAGGGACAGCAGTTATGGGTGGCTGTGCTGGGGGCCTGTGGCTGGCCTTCCCTGAGCACCAACAGTACGGCCCCTTCCAAGGCTCAGTGCTGGCTACAGGGACAATGGTTCTAGACGGGGGATTTGGAAAGGAGAGTAGCTGAGCCCTGGTGGCTGCAATCCTAGCTACTCAGAAGGGCTGAGATCCTGTGGGTGGAGGTTTGAAGTCAGCCTGTGTCGAAAGATCCACAAGACTCCCAATTCCAATTAACCAGAAAAAAATCTGGACTAGAAGCTGGGTGCTGGTAGCTCACACCTGTAATCCTACCTACTCAGGAGGCTGAGATCTGAGGATCACAGTTCAAAGACAGACTAGGCAGGAAAGTCTGAGACTCTTATCTCCAGAAAACTGGAAATAGAGCTGTGGCTCAAAGTGGTAGAGCACTAGCCTTCAGCTGAAGAGCTCAAGGATAGCACCCAGGCCCTGACTGAGTTCAAGCCTTACAATCAAAAATCTGGACTGGAGACATGCCACAAGTGATAGAGCTCCCGCCAAATAAGCCAAGCAACAGGAAGCCATGAATTCAAGCCCTATTAAAGAAAGAGGAGAGAGACAGAGAGAGATAGACATACAGAGAGAAAGGAAAAAGGAATGGATTTGGGTGACCAAATTTGGCAAATAAAAATGCAGGCTGCTCCAGCTGAATGTGAATTTCAGATAAAGAATTGCAAATATTAGGGACCTATTTCTACCAAAGTATTCAGTGTTTATCTGCAATCAGAAATGAACAAGATGTCTTGTATTTTATCTGACAACCCCAGGGCTAATTGAAAAACAATGTCCTAGTTACTTCAAAACAAGGGAAATGAGCAGAAGCAATGGGGAATTTATGATAGGATTTAGTGATGCTGGGAGGCTCGCAGGCTGGAAAGTGGGCTGGGGGAAGACAGCCATCTTGACTAAGTTCACCCTCACTGCATGCGAGGGGAGGAAGTCTTCCAGAGTCTCGGGTCATGCGAAGTCTACTTTCCCTGTGGATTAGGGGTCCCAGCTTCTGTGAGCATCCAGGCTGTTCCTTGGTGGCCCAGACAGCAGCTCGGGGCCCAGCCTCCCCCACACCAGCCTCCAGGGCTACCCTGTGTGGGCCTGGGCTACAGAACGAACCCTAGTGGGTGGAGGCTGCAGGTCACCCAGGGCCTTGGATGGTCTCAGGCCTCTCAAAGGCACATTTGTTGTTGTTCTCTGAAATGGTGGTGAAATGCAGGCTCCCGACCCACGTGGCTTTGCACCTGTGGTACTAGCTACCCGCCACCTGTGGCTCTGGTCCTTGTGGGATTTGTTAAGCAAATGTGTCTGGAGCCTGCGGGCACAGCCGGGCTGGGCTGCCATGCGGGGCCTGGCCAGGCAGCCTCCTCTCTGGAGGGCTGTGGGGCAGACACACTGGGGGGGTGAGTGTGTCTTTCTCAAGGGACATTTTTCCTGCGGTGTAGACACAGGCGCTCTGCCCTCAGGGGTGCTGGGGTTGGGATGCGGGGCGTCCCAGTTCCCAGATCAAGACTTGAGAAGTCCAGTGGCACCCTATACAATCCCCAAGGCCCGGGCTGGGTGCCAGGCCCCCTCCATCAAGCCGTCCTGGGAGCATCTTGGGTGCGGTGGGGCCAGGGAATCTGAGGTGCCTTTAGCCCAGTTGGAGAATTAGCAAGCAAATGAAAACACGTCGTCTCTGGACATGACAGGAAACGGAAAAGGATCTAGGGTTCTTCTGTCCTTCTGAACCCTGGGTCTCCCTGAGGACTGGATCCTGTGTGGAGTTAGGAGCCCCTGGCCCAGGCTTCCCAGAGGGGCTGCTGGGGGGGACGTCCATCTGTCCATCAGTCTGTCCAGAGCAGACTGTCCAACAGGGAGACGCTAAGCCCAGGAGCAGCTAGACCTTCTGCACCCTCCACTGGGTATGGGGAGGGGGCAGTGGAGGAGGCCTGACGGCAGAGGATTATCGAGGCTGGGCCTGTGGCCCTCAGATTTGCACCTACTGCAGGCTTCTTTCTGGGGCCACAGCTTCTTAGGAAAAGGACATGGGGCCACGGGTTCTCAGCCCCTCCCCCACCTGGGGCTCCCCTGATTTCCTTCGGGCCTCACCTCCTGGGGCAGCCCTGAGCAAGCTGAAGGTCCCAAATTGCCAATCAGACTTAGATGGAAATTGGAAAGCTGAGTATGTATCAGAGGCAAGATGGAGGGGCCCCACTTTATTATTCCAGCGTTCTCTCCTCTTCAGAAAATGGAATTCTATTCTGGAAAGTGATGGAAGGGGCTTTGAATCGTTATTTGGTTTATAGAACTTCAGCTGGTCTGTGGGTTTTCAGGAAGGGGTAGGGCTGCAGAGTCTCCACACCTCTGAGTGTACAGTCGGTGGATGGTGCTGCCCCACGTGTAGGTACAACCTGTAGTCCCAGCTACCCGGAAGGCAGAAGTAGGAGGATCAAGGTCTGAGAGGTGGGTCCTAGGCAAACGTGTAAAACCTTTCCTGAAAAACAAACTAAAAGCTAAAGGACTGGGGTGCAGGCGGCCCAAGTGGTCGAGCTCTTGTCTGAAGCGCGAGGCTTGAATTCCATCCCCACTAGTGAACAAAAATGAGTATGGCGGCAGAGAAAGGGCCTGGCCTCTCAGAGCTGTGTGACCAGGCACAAGTCTTGTTCTAACACAATCAAGATCGCCATTTTTCCAGCTGTGTTCCCGGTCCACAAGGGGCTGCACTACTGTTAGTAGCCATGAAGCCAGATGGCAGTCCCAGGGGCCACCGCAACAGCCTGGCCTCAGGGGGCACCTGAGGCCTCCACCTCCGGGCGGCGGTGTTCCTGGATCCGGCGGGGATGAGGCCTGTAGGTGACCCATACCGTCTCGGAAGTGGCCAGCAGGGGGCAGTCACACGGCCGGGGAGCTGACCTGGAGGCGAGAGACAAAGAAAGAGCAAGCGTGGATTTTTGTTCCGTTTCAGACTGTGAGTGTGGCAGGGACAGGGGAGTGTGGCAGGGACAGGGGAGTGTGGGAGGTCCCTTCATTCGCTGGTGGGCGTGGAAAACTCCCTGGGGATGGGCTTTAGAACATGCATAGAAACTCTCCCGAAGCACAGGCCTCTTGAACCTGGTAACGGCAACTCTAGAAATACACAACCAGATGTGCGCCTGCTGTGTTCATGGAGACATTGAGCAGAAGGTTAGAAATACCAGAAGATACTGAAAAAATAGCCAGGTGCCAGTGGCTCACGCCTATAAACCTAGCTACTCAGGAGGCTGAGATCTGAGGATCATGGTTCAAAACCAGCCTAGGCAGGAAAGTCAGTGAGACTTTTGTTTTTTTAAATCAGTCATGGGGCTTGAACTCTGGGCCTGGGTGCTGTCCCTCAGCTCTAAGACTTTTATCTTCAATGAACCACAAAAAGCTGGAAGTAGAGCTGTGGCTCAAGTGATAGTCTTGAGCCCAAAAGCTCATGGACAGAACCTAGGCCCAGAGTTCAAACCCACGACAGGAAGACAAACAAGCAATCAAATAAACAAACAAAATTAACTCCAGAAAAGTATTCCCCAAAATATTAACATCAAGCTGGAGAGGTTTTCAGTAATTTTTTTCTATTTATGTTCTTCTAAATTTGAAGATTTTTTATACCAAAAGTGTATGCTGTTTTTCATTGTATATTTTATTATTGCACTTTTTTAATTTTTTAAAAATTGGGGCTAAGAAGGTGGCTTAGTGGTAGAGTGCTTGCCTAGCATGCATGAAGCCCTGGGTTCAATTCCTCAGTACCACATAAACAGGAAAAGACAGAAGTGGTGCTGTGGCTCAAGTGATTGAGTGCTAACCTTGAGCAAAAGAGGCTTAAGGACAGTGCCTAGGCCCTGAGTTCAAGCCCCAGGACTGACAAAAAAAAGTTCAACTTTTTAGGTTGTTATAATAAAGATGATGTACAGAGGGGTTATAATTACGTAAGTCAGGTAAAAAGTACATTTCTTTTTGGATCATGTCAATCCCTCCCTGCCCCCCTCCCAGTTTTTCCTTCCTGTCTCCACCCACAAGTTGTATTGTTCATTTTCAACATAGTGTCCCCTGGAGTACCACTGCTACATTGGTTCACCCTCTGTCCTTCCATTGTGGTACCCCGCTCTCGCTCTCCCCCAAACAGATAAAAGAGCAAAGAAGACAAAAACAACAGAAAAAAAAACCCCTCTTGTTTCCATTTCTTGGAGTTCATTTCAATAAATATTTTATATGATCAGAGGTACAGAAGCATTTTTCTCCTCTAAGAATATCTGCCTTTGGTCTCAGTGTGTGGGGTGTATGCTGCTTTTAGAACCAGAAAAAGCAATAAAGTTACTTATCCTGTAGACAACCAGGTTTATAACAACAAATAAGTGGATAATGTTTCTTTAAGGGACAGATGCTGAGCTAAAGTAGAGATTATGGGCTGGGCATGGTGATTCACACCTGCAGTCCCTGCTGCTCCTGACACAGAGGTAGGAGAGTTCTATCTGAGCTAGTCCAGGCAAAAGGTAGAGAGAGAGCCTTAAAAAAAGAAAAAAAAAGGCTTCTGTTATTTATTTATTTAGCCAGTCCTAGGACTTGAACTCAAGGCTTGGGCCCTGTTCCTGAGCTTTTACTCCAGGCTAGTGCTCTACCATAGCACAACTTCTGGCTTTTTATTGGAGCTGAGAGTCTCACAGACTCTCCTGCCCAGGCTGACTTCTGGCTAACTTCGAACAGCGATCCTCCTATCTCTGCTTTCTGAGTAGCTAGGATTACAGGCGTGAGCCACTGGTACTGGTTATGACTGCTCTTCTTGAATGGTCAGATAGCACCTGCACTAAATTCTCACTGGTAACCTCTCCCCCCCTCCCAGCTTCTTGCAGATCAGGAAATGGAGGTTCAGAGCGACTGTGTGTCCTGACCATATGTTCCAAATGAGCTTGCCAGAGCAGGGGCTGATGCCAAGGCCTGGTGCCTTTCCCCCCCTCCCTCCTGACTCTCCCATACTTCCTGGCATGTTCCAGAAGACAAGTCCCAGCTGCTCTCCCTGGGGAACTTAAACCAAGGGAGTCATGCTCACTGTGCTTTGCTTCCTGTTTTGGGGAACCGAGGATGCCGGGGGATGCATTTCCTGGTGCCACTGGTCTTCTGTTTGTTCTTCTGGAATACCTTGCTCACCCAGTTGGCATCGGCAGCAGCGCTCACCCTGTGCACAGAGATGATGTAGATGGCTTGTGAACAGCGCATGGGCCAGAGCCAGGCACAGCAGCGCCGCCTGAGCATGAGTGAGCTCCCCAGCGATTCCCAACGAACGCGTACCCAAGTAACAGCAGACCCCACAGCTGGCTCGCTGTCTTTTATACTGTTCTGCACAAATTCATAAGAACACAGCACAGAACGGTGTGAAATCTAACAGGCTAAGCCCCACAATTCCTTTTTTTTTTTTTGGTGCTGAGTAAGGCTTAAACACTCCCACTTCGCTTTTGCTTGCTCAAGGCTGGTGCTCTACCACTTGAGCCACAGCTCCACTTCCAGATTTTCAGTGGTTTGAAGCTATGGATATGCTCTGTTTTGTTTTTTGTTTTGGGGTGGGGGTTTTTGGTCTTGGGGCTTGAACTCAGGGCCCGAGCGCTGACCTTGAGCTTTTTCACTCAAGTCAAGCACTCTGTTTGAGCCACAGCACCACTTCCAGTTTTCTAGAGGTTTATTGAAGATAAGAGTCTCATGGACTTTCCTGCCCTAGCTGGCTTTGAACTGCGATCCTCAGATCTCAGCCTCCTGACTAGCTAGCATGACAGGCGTGAGCCACCAGCCCCTGGCTTGTGAAAGTCTTATCTCCAATTGGTTATCAAAAAGCAGGAAGTGGAGCTAAAGTGGTTGAGCACTAGCTTTGAACATAAAAGCTCAAGGATGGTGGCTAGTTCAAGCCTCAGGACTGAGGAGAGAAGGAGAGGGGGAGGGGGAGAACGTCTCACTTGGCCGTCCCTCCCCTGACCCTAGGAGCAGAGGCAGAGCAGCTTACCTGGCGTGACTTTCGTGAATTTCGTGGCTGGCTTCCTTCCCCGGGACGGGAGCAGGGGTAGCACTTTTTGAATGTGAAGACGCTCGGGGTGCTGCAGCCAGAAGGAAAATCCAGGGAGAGTGAGATGGGGTGGGGACGTGGTTGTCATTTCAGAGGAATGAACAGTGTGACTGTGCACAAGAACAGTAAAGAACTGGCGGGTAGGTTGTCAGGGGTGAGCCCCGGGCAGCAGCTGGGAAGGACAGAGCTCCTTCCTATGGACAACACAGGAGCGAGGTGAGGAACACGCCCCGCAGAGGCCCCAGCTCCCACAGGAGGCTGCAGGGAAGGCTGCTTTTTTCCTCTTGAATGCTTGTTTAAAAAAAAGTGTAGGGGCTGGGAAGGTGGCTCAGTGGTAGAGCGCTTGCCTTGCATGCCTGAGGCCCTGGGTTTGATTCCTCAGCACCACATAAGCAGAAAAGGCCAGAAGTGGCACGTGGCTCAAGTGGTAGAGTACTAGTCTTAAGCTGAAGAGCTGAGGGACAGCGCCTAGGCCCAGAGAGAAAGAACCCAGGTAAAACTGAGTTCAATCTGTAAGTTTCTATTTATCAAAAACTCTAATGCTGGGTGCTGGTGGCTCATGCCTGTAATCCTAGCTACTCAAGATGTTGAGATCTAAGGATGGTGGTATGGTTTGAAGCCAGGCAGGGCAGAAAAATCCCTGTGACTCTTTTTTTTTTTTTTTTTTTTTGTCGGTCATGGGGCTTGAACTCTGGGCCTGGGCGCTGTCCCTCAGCTCTTCAGCTCAAGGCGAGCGCTCTACCACTTGAGCTACAGCGCCACTTCCGGTTTTCTGGTGGTTTATTGGAGATAGGAGTCTCACGGTCTCTCCTGCTCGGGCTAGCTTTGAACCGCAATCCTCAGATCTCAGCCTCCTGAGTAGCGAGGCTTACAGGCGTGAGCCACCAGCGCCCGGCTCCCAACCATTGTTTTCAAGCAAGGTCTTTGCATCTTTTAACAACCATGGGATGTGTACATATGAAGATTAATTATTATGTTACATAATTAATTCCTAATTATATGACTGTGCAATATGATAACTAGCTAGTAATTAGTATATGTAAATACAAGTGCTACTTAAAATGTATTCAGGTTCCTCTATCTTAAATTCTTCCATCAGGAACTTCTTGGATGTCCTTGGCTGTCCTGATTCTATTTGCAGTGGGACTTAAGTGTCTTTTCGTTTATGGATTTTTTCCAGAACTTTTCACAATGCCCCCTTCCTCCAGACCCGCCCTGGCCATCAATAATGATTGGCAATGTTGGCCCCAGAAGGGTCTCCTCTGCCTAGTTCCCATGGGTGCCCAGAGATGATGCTAATGGGGCTCCCTGGTGGACTGTGAGGGGCTCCTTAATGAAAGCCACTGTAATGCAAAGACAGATCACTGTCTGTCAGGAGGATGAGCCTGTGCATGGCAGGATGTTTTAGCAGCCTCTCTGGGCTCCACCCACCAGATCACCATTAAAAATATCTCCCACAATTGCTCAGTGTCTCCTGGGAGGATGCTCGCTGTCCAGCGTGCGTGGAAGAAGGCCGGCTCCGGCAGAGCAGCAAGCACTGCTTTAACAGGAATGAGGGAACACGCGAAACACTGGCCAGTTTTCTGACTCTTAATGTTCTGATGTTTTTGTCTGCCTTCTTTTTGTGTCAGTTGTAGGGCTTGAACTCAGGGCCTGGGCACTGTCCCTGAGCTTTTATTTTTTATTTTTTGGTCGGTCATGAGGCTTGAACTCAGGGCTTGAGTGCTGTCCCTGAGCCTCTTTGTGCTCAAGGCTAGCACTCTACCACTTGAGCCACAGCGCCACTTCCAGTTTTTGAGTGGTTAGTTGGAGATAAGAGTCTCATGGGGACTTCTCTGCTTGGGCTGGCTTTAAACCATAGTCCTCAGATCTCAGCCTCCTCAATAGCTAGGATTACAAGCATGAGCCACCAGTGGCCTGGGCACTGTCCTTGAGCTTTTATGCTCAAAGCTAGTGCTCTACCACTTTGAGCCACAGCTCTACTTCCAGTTTTCTGATGGTTAATTGGAGATAAAACTCTCACATATTTTCCTGTGCAGGCTGGCTTTGAACCACAATTCTCAGATCTCAGTCTCCTGACTAGCTAGGATTACAGGCATGAGCCACTAGCGCCCAGTATTTGTTGCTCTCTTGTATTTCCAACATCAGTAGCTAGTGTATAAGGGACCTAGAATAGCATCCCTTGGCAGATTTACACTGGTGCTTCTCAAAGCATCTGAATGTGTTGACAATCTGTGTGAACTCTGGAAATACAATGCAAATGAATGAGTAGAAAAGGGATCAGAGCCGGGTGCCAGTGGCTCATGCCTGTAATCCTAGCTACTCAGGAGGCCAAGATGTGAGGATGGTAGTTCAAAGCCAGCCGGCGCAAGTAAGGCCGTGACATTCTTATCTCCAATTAACCACCAGGTTTGAAGCTATGGATATGCTCTGTTTTGTTTT